AGGTGACTGAAGTCTTAAGTTTATTACTGTGCATAGAGTTAGCTCGAAAGTATGAACTGTTAAAATGTTCAAATGTTAACTGTATTTAAATGCCAATAAACAAAATTTCCTGTGATTGCCAGAGGTTATTATTCAACCTCAAGAACATTTTCAAATTCTACACATGAAGGCACAATAAACTGAAGCGTAGCTAAAAATAGTGGAGTTCAGGAGCACTTTTTGAGAGGATAATAGTTAATACAAGACAAAAAATTCATTCATGCTTCCTGAGACTAAGTGTGATGCTCAGTCCTATGCAAAGTCGAGATAGACAGCAACGTCTTTCGAGCGCTACTGAGGTTCACTAAACCGAAGCTAGCTGATTTCAGAACCAGAACTTTTAGTTCTATAACTATTCATTTTGTTGAATCACATCCTTGATTTAAGGCCTGTTGGATAACAGTTATTCAGTAACTAATAACAGTCAATTAATGATCAAAAGAATTTGCCAAAATTGACATCTGTAATTGACAAAAAACTGCTAGAGATGCATCAATATTAATTTTTTCCCTTCAGATATAGAGTACCGATAACAACTCCAATTCAATCTGACCTACTTGATAGCTACCTATAAATTACAATATTTTTACCATTCCACTTTTCAAATACTGTATTTTGGTAAACACAGTGTTCTGTAACACAAATAAAACATACTAAGCTTTAATGAATGGCATTTACTGGTTGGAAAACTTCACATTAGATTTTTTTTCACATTAGATTTGTTTTCAGAGCTACACACAGTCGCTGTGCTCTTTGGCATGGTTTTCTTTGAAAATGAAATTAAAATTTATCTTAATTTATCAAAATACGGGCATTAGAAATTTTGCTATGAGCATTTGCACTACAGCTTGCCTCAAATGTGAAATAATCCAACAACGTTAACATTGCTTGATTCAGTTAAGCTCCATATACTGGGGTGGATGCAAGCATCAGAAATTGCGTTGCCATGCTAGTATTCTCCTTTGCAGAGACTGATACTGCAGACTGAGACTTTAAGTGCCAATATCCGGGCTGATACCAGGGATCGGTGCAATAAAAAATACAATAATACAAATAAAAAATACAAATAAATGTAATGAATTTACACTAACAGTTAAATACACTGCAAGGTGTATCAAAATTCCAAAGTGCAGCAACAGAATTAAAATGCAGTATTATTTTGCTTGCAGTCCTAGTCTGTATGTGTATGTTGTGTCTGCGTTTGTTTATAAGTGAGCATTTACTCTCTGTGGTGTGTCAGTGTGAGTGTGAGAGTGTATATATGTGTTTGAGTGCCAGTGAGTAAGAGTGTGTGTGTATGTGTGTGTGTGTGTGTGTGTGTGTGTGGATGACTAAGTCCTTGTGTGAGTGCGCATGTTAGGGAGCGTGACAGTGTTCGTGTTTGTGTGTGTGTGAGTCACTAAATGCTACACAGGGACAACAGCCAGCAGTCGCTCAGTCGTTCGCTCTTGGCTACTCAGCTCCTTCTTCCCAACAGGTCAGCGGTCAAAGGCGCGAAGCTTCAGCCGCAGACAAAACACACCACCTCCACTAAAGCCACCAGAAACCTCCAACTCCTACTATTTTCCTTTTATTTTGATAAACTAAATAAAATGACGCATTGAATTTACAAATGTTTGCATCACTTCCACATTAATGAAATAAACTACATACACACAGTTTTGCCTTTCAGTTTATTTACATTCAGGAATGATTTTGCTGATGTAATATACAGTACAGGGCAGAAGTCAGAGATCAACCTTTATTTATTTAATTTTCTTTCAAAACTGCCATTAAGTTGTTCATTTTTCAGCACCATTAACAAAACATATTTAACAGAAAATTACACAGAAGCCTCAATAAGTAAATGTAATATCATTTCCCCCCTTTTTTTGTGCGTCCACACTTTGCTTTTATTGTATTTTCTATTCTTTTCAGGAGACTCACTTTCAGTTTCTCAAAGAAATCTGCAGACACACCTCCATAGTTCAATCTTAGAAGTAGGTTAATCATTTTCTGAAGTAATCAAACACATTCAGTGATATTGAGGTCTGGACTCTGGGGTGGTCAGTCCATTGTTCAGCTTCTTTGTTTGATGTGTCTGTCTCCTTTTCTCAGTGAGGTTCTTCTTGACAGCTACACATCCTTTCAGACCCATAGTGCTGAGTTGTCTTCTCACAGTGGAAGGATGGACAGAAACACCTGTGGATGTTTTCAGATCTGAAGCAGCTTGATTTTCGCCTCTCTCTCCAAGATGAAAGCTTCAAGTGCTGTTTATCTGATGGGGGCAGTTTTGGTGTCTACCAGGTCTTCCAGGAGTCACATTTTCTCTGTATGTTTTAACCATTTTTTGAACTCCAGTTTTGGAAACTGTGTTTTTTTCCTTTGACTTTTACCTTCCTTATGTAAGTGAGTTTTCTTTGTCCTTTAAGTGAATAACTTGCACTTAAAGGCCATTTTAAATGTAGGGTGGTCTCTGACCTTTACACAGTGCTGTATTATCCAAGTAGAACAGATGTACAATTTTGAATCAGGTAAATTTAATGTTTCAGTTCCTGTCAGATGAGATCAATTGATCTCAGTTGAATTATGATTTGAAGACACTACTTATCAGACTTCGACACACCATGAATCTGCAAGATTCTAAATATAATACCTATCTTATATCTTATTTTATCTTAAAGACAAACACTGACTGTTCAACCTTTAATCCTTTATCAGAGAACAGTAACAGCACTACAATAATGCTGACTCTGCAATCTGGTCCCTAATTCTTTTTAACACATTCTTCAGTGCGAACCTTCAGAACACAATGTTGGCTTACAGCATAGTTATTAGGTAGCTGCTGGTGATCCAGCAACATGAGCAAAAACGCAGAAACTAGGCTGTAATTACTTAAAGAAGACGGTGGCTCTGGTGGGGTGGGGAACAGGCCCCTCACTAACAATCTGTCACTCTTTTTTTCCTGCATCACTTTACATCTGAGGTTCAACATCTGTCACGTAACAACACAGAATGAAACATCTGGTTCACCTAAAAGCTTCTTTATCTGCCTGAGTTTCTTATAACAGTGTGTTGAGTTACAAAAAATGGTATGTGGATGTTTTAATGTTGTAAATCTAGTGAAGCAGGAGAGGATTTTATTAACACAGTCTATTGATCTGCACGGTAGTGAAAAGGTAATGGTCAGAATTTACTTAAATAACATATATCCAGAATTTTTACATGAATAAAATAATTTAGCAATTTTGTCTTTCAGCTTATCTACACTGTAAAAATGACTCAACAGTTCAACCTAAAAATACTTTGTGTGGTAACAAGGAATTGAGCTAGTTTTATTTAATTACATTGACTGAAAGAATCGTCATTGAAAGTATTTATTTGGGTTAAATAAAACTAGTTAATTTACTTGCTACCACATGAAGTACTGAAAAGCCATTTTTCACAGTGTACCTTCAGCAATAACTGTGTGTTTATATTAGGGGTGGGCAGTATGATGATATTTTGTCATTATTATGATAAATTACATCACAATACACTTTTCTGTGCATATCATGGATATCGACAGTACTTAAAGAATATTGACCAACCTCATGTTTCATTCCAAAGAGAGCATAAGTAGTCCTGTTCAATTAACATACATTGAATTGAGATCACAGTAGTAGTTTTTTTCCAGTTCCAACTTAACAAACCTCAGAAAAACTAAATATTGTGATATATACCGTGTATCATGAAAACGTCTACAAGCAAGGTGATATTACAGTTTTGCCATATCACCCACCCTAGTTGATATATTATAGTTTATTCAAGTGAAAATATATATATATATATATATATATATATATATATATATATATATGATTTCATCAATGCAGTTTGAAAATGCATGTTTTGTGCTGGCAAATGATCCTAAAAAGTCATTGCGAGACAAGATTAGAAGTGCAATTGTGTGTTAACCTGTGCTTAGCAAGAGGAGGTCTCTGCTATCTGACATAAAATGACATCAAGGAACACTTTCCACTACAGCCTCTTTCCAGAGATGAACATATGGCACAGCGGAGCATAAACACCCTGTCTATTTATGTGCACTGACAAATACAGTGACATTTACAATCCCTGGGCTGTAAAGGAATACAAATATAGATTGCACAGACAGACAATGAAGCAGTTCACTTGCATTTTCATACGGACATAACCACAGTAAATAAGATGTAATGGGACAGAGAGAAGGAAAAAAGAGGAACATCTAGCAACCACAAGGTCGTTCAAAGAGAGTGCAATAAAAAAAGAAGCAACTAAAAGCAAAGAGGCAAAGAGCTGCCCTCTCCTTCTTCCACATCACTGTGTAAAAATCATTGGGGAGCTTTTGTTCTAATTAAATTTGGTGCACTGTCTTAGCATGCAGAGGAAGGGGGGTAGCTGACGATGCCTCTTTTGTGGTAAAAAAGGAATGAAAAAATGAACCCCAGAGGACATGCCTGGGGTACTGAAATGACATATGCTGTGACATCTTTACAGCGTATTGAGAGCAAGTCGAAAGTGACACATAAAGCCAAAGCAACCGGTTGCTACTAGCTAAGTGCAATGTTTATAGCTTTGAATGTAATTACATGCCTAAACACTTTATTTGCCCTGCTACAATGCTAAAGAAATTCACACTGATTTCAACATATTAACATATTGATTGCATATACCTTCATGTGAAGATGAAGCCTTTTCAAACGGCTGTGTTAGTCTGAATAAGCTGTCAACTAAAAGCTTGATGTCTTGGTGAAGAGAACCTTAGTGCTAACAATAACAGTACTAATAATAAGTGTTTGTCTTTAGTAATGTAAAACAATTGACTAACACCCTGACCGGACACTGGTGCTCAAACACACAACAAATTCCACCATTTTTACAAGTTTTTTTAAGCATAATTCAGTCTGAAAAGTACACAGTCATTCAGAGTGGTTTGATGTGAAATATGTAGACATACTTACCAATGGTAATTTTCAGTGGTGGTGATAAGAACCAGAGGTTGAGATGTCTACAACACAAATATAGCCATTTTAATTGCTATTCAAAACCACCAATGAATGCACAAGAGCCTGATTATATGCAATACTGATGATGGTAAAAGGGTGGTAAATTAAAAAAACAATAATTTTTTTTTAGGGACTATATTACCTGACAACAACCTGAATGTACCACTCTGCTATAAAGAGGTTTTAAAAATGTTTTAACGTCCTGACTCTCAGTAGTTATTTCAGAAGCGTAGTTCACTATTAGCATAACAACGTTACATTTTTCTGTATTGTAAACAGTGGTTTCACTTGCGAGATGTTTTCGTTTTCTAACTCTGTGCTTTAAAAAACCCAGACACAACAAACACGATCTCCACCGTCCCCTCTTGTTACCTTGTGTGTAAATGTTAATGAAAACAGTGATGTTGGTGAATAATGCGGAGACAGAGCTGATTGTGTGTCTGTTTATTAGGAGGCATACCATTAGCGCAGTGGGCTAAAGCATTTGGGAAATGGAAACTGAAACAGGGGAGTGGCGACACTGATAAACAGCACTGTCACCACAGCGCTGTCACAACATACCAGTTTATTGCTCTTTAGTTTTGGTTTGACCTATTTTACATCAGTAACAATAGATGTAACTTACATTTTGAACATTATTTTGATGACGTTTACATTTCAGCTGTGAGCGTATGATCGGTTGCTTGATAAAATACGTAACAGTCGATTGTCAACTTCATCTGAGGAGTTTAGGATTCCCTAACTTGAGATAAGATGCTGTAAGATAAAATTCCTAAATTAAAATTTGCTTCTTTACCACATATTTATGAAAAATCTCATCTTGACCTGTTAAATTTTTAACTTTAGACAAAAAAGATATGAAGCTTCTGTAATACAGCCCTTGGTGCTTAACAAGCCACCAAGAATGGTGCATTTCACATGAAACCAGTCTGAATGACTTTGTTTGCATCTTAACAATTTAAGCAACCAGAACGTTATGTATGTAAAAAAAAAAGGTAGAATTCTTTAAACAACACAGTGATGGGTACTGCAATGTTTTTACCATTGTTTAAACCAGCGTAGCTAAGTTAATACGCAAATTTCCTCTTAACAGTCTACGTGGTACGCCTAAATGCAACTCTACAGCATACTATTTAACAATTTGGCCAAACCTACAAGAGGTAATGGTGGACAAGAAGCTTAGTCAAACTGCCCTAGCAGATTATTTGCTGAGGCTTTAGTGTAATACATCAGTCAATAAATGCTGACATCACCATACTTAACTACAGGTGAAGTCTATAATTACACATAATTATGGTTCTGTATCTCTTTTACTGAACATCTGTCCTATTACAATACTACTTTTCTTAAAGCAAATGGTATAACAAAACATCGCCCCTGACCAGCAAGCAAAGTGTCCATCAGGCCCTGTCACTGTACTGGAGCTCCACTGTTAACGGTGACAAGGTGAATATGGCTTTCAACCACATCTATCCCTCACCCCCTACCCATCAATCATCCTAATTTTAGCAGTGCTTCGTGATCATAAGGATTTTAGCAAAGGCATGAGTGGGCCATGACTAATTCTTAAGCCATTTGCCTGACAGCTTTGACTGGAGACGTTGACAACAAGATTTTTACAGTACCGCCGTCCAAGCGTTCCAACATGCAGGGAAAAAAGAAAGGAAAGAAGTTACATGATATGAGTCATGCACAGCACGGAAAGGGCGATTTTTTAAATTGCTTTGTGATGAGATTTGACAGGTCAAGTCATTCTGAGAAATGCAGATCCAAACAGTTTATTGTCTTCCTATGTTTTAGTCCACGACTCAGCAAACAGATGCGGGTGTTCTGGCAGCTCTGGCCAGTTTGTGGAGATGATGAATTGCTAATGAGAAAGTCCAGAAGTTAGGCTCTGATACATTAATTAGACAGTCTTAATTTTCTGAAGGATTATTTCATGACATTCTCCCACATTCTATGGGATTGATAGAAACCATTAAAGACTTTAAACGTAAATATTTATTTACGCCTTAAATAAAACAAACTACCAAATCAGTTGTTATTTTAAAAGCATGGTATATGCTTAATAAAGCAAACCAAAGGAACTAAAGATGCGTGGCTAAATGACTTAGCAAAGAAAAGATCATACATTAACAAATAATAGTGTTTTTTTTTTTATTTTTATTGTTGCTTCCAAAATTTGTCATTTAAAAAAATTTTAAAAATATCATTTCATTACATTAACATACAGTAAAGCTAACAGTATTTTTTCTTTTCCTTTAAAGTTCGAAAATCCATATTGTAATGAAAATGATGTTAATTGATGAGCTTAATAATGTAAACTTAAGCACATTAGTATTTGGCAAATATACTGCTCACATTGCATTTATTGGCTAGGCCCAGTTAATGATTTAAGAAAGTTTTATTAAGTTTAACACGCAGTTTCGAACATCCTATTGAATGACAGTTCACTCCAGCTTTACAGTATGGTGTATTTTACACACGGGCAACCTGTGTGTTTGACGCTATCCATCAAAGCCTTACTATATAAGTCTACTATATACACACACATCTTCTAAGCCGCTTATCCTTCTGGGTCACGAAGGGGAGCTGGAGCCTATCCCAGCAGTCACTGGGCAGAAGTCAGGATACAATCTATTATATACAAATTTACAATTACAGTTTCAGCCAAATTTGAATGCTGAGCACTTAGTTAGCATTCCAAACATATAGAAATATTAAGAAAAATATAATGCATGTTAGGTTTGTGGCCTAATTTCAATTTAGTTAAATGACATCACTTATTCAGTAATAACATTAAAGCTGCACCTGCTAATGTGAATAAGTAATCCAGGGACATTCATCTTGGACATCTGTGTCAGCTCAGGTGAACAAGGGGATAAGGAAGCTAAACAGCTGTTGTTGTGCTGCAATAAGGATATCTTGCAAAACAGTGCTTGCAAGGAAGCTTACAAAAGCAATGTTCTTAAATGAGGCTAAATTTAGATGGCTAAAAACATGCTTCTCATCCAGGGCACTTATATTGATACTGTTCAATGCCGGATATACAAGTTGAGACTCTGCAGCGAATAAAAGTACTTCTGAAAATGAGGAGTCTAGCAGGTCATGGCTTAACATTACAGCATTTGAGATCACATTTGTTGAAGCGAAGGTTTTCTGTGCTTTTCATAGTTTTCATAGTTTCTTATATCTTATCAGAAAAATCTACAACTCAGAACAGCAGTAATGCAACTTACAAATTCACAAACAGTGCTAAATCACTCAAATTTTGGCTTATGTATGCTGCATCTACAGCTGCCCTCAAAATCCAACTAATATGGATGAAAACAAAGATTTTGTTAACCCCTGAGGTACTGATTTATGTTTCTGTAAGCACAAAAAAAACTGTCGATATTTCAGAATCCAAAACATCCTAGTAGGACAAAACACTTAATCACAGCTATGGCACATTTACTTTATGTGACTCGCAGCACAGGGTTATGGTGATACCTTTCACAGCAAAGCAGGGCTGTTATGGATGCCCAATGCATTGAGATCACGTGTTAGAAAGCAGCCAATTTTCTAGCTCCCCTCAGATAAAATGATGCATGCTGGTTTCATGCCTAAGCAATGAGTATGTTCTGGGCTTCAGAGCTGATGAAGAAGCAACCAAGCCAGGCAGCTCTTGCAAAGAATTAGGTAAGTGCTTGTGAGTCAGCCTTACAGCAGGAAGACCTCTTAAACATGCAAATCCAACAGTATCCTGACATAAGAATCAAACACCATTTTCAAAAAGAAGCAGGAAGAGTAAGTTGCCAATTAAGAGAACAGTAGCTTAATTGGTCTCAAATCTCTTGATATCAATAATTTTAATAATTCAAAAAATGTTGTCCCACAGCACCTTCATATTATCAGAATTAATGGCACTTGAGTAAGAAACTGTTAAAATGCCGTTTCATGCCCAGTACCAGATGTTTTACATGCTGTGAAAGTGCCTCATCCTTACCTCACACAACGACAGACCCCACCAAGCTTGTTTTTTGCACTGAAGCTACAACTGTCATTGGTCCCCACCAAAAAAAGCCATGTCCTCATCTGGAGGACAAACTTTCTGCAGCCTGGCACACCTTGAAACACTCTAATTTGGCTCAACAGTGCGTTCTCATGCTGGGAACCTTCCCTGTCGTCATCTGTCAACAGATTCGATCCTCGCTCAGGCACATCTGAGGGCACTTACGCTTGAGAGGTTATGCATTTTAAAAGGTTTTGACCTAATCCCATTCAACTGTAATTTGAGCTCCCTGTGAGAAAAAAAAGAGGAGGTCCTCTCGATGTACTCTAGGACAGCGCACCGTCATGTCAAAGCCCACACAATAAGTCGTCCTCTGTGTGCACTTGACTCTACAGCATAGAGCATGAGGAGGCAAAGGGGGAGGATTATTTTTAGGGAGGCAAAGCTTGGCGGGGGTTGGAATCTAACTGGCAGGGCTTGCGCGGTCACAACAAGCACACATTCCTCGATGGACTATTATTGCCACCTGCCAAGGCGCTAACCCTGACCGCACGAGAACAAACTTGTCTGTCACACATGATGCATGAGCCCAAGGCAATTTCCCAACACTAAATCTCTAAAACAATTCAACAGACAGTGATCATGCTCTTTCCCGCCAGCAAAAAAAAGAAAGGGGACTTGCTACTGAATGACAAAAGTGCAAGAGAATTTCACTTACTCAGCCAGACGATCGATGTCAGATCTTAAAAGATTTCAATCATAGAGAGGAGTAATCACTGCTCAGCATCTGTACAGTCTCAGCAAGCCCCGGCTAGATTGCAGGAGGCGCTTGCACATGCAGTCTGTACCATGTTAGTAAGCGACAGGGGAGTGAGAAGAGGATGAGAAAAGGGAGGAGGGAGGCAGCCCTACAGAAGGAAGAGAGGTGGGGTGGTCATGGTGGTGGAGCTTTTAATGTGTCTTAATTGAAAGGCAAAGTAATACATTTGACCACAAAACAACTTGATTCAAACGGAAGCTTTGGATTGCCTGGCAGAGGGTGAGCTGGAGAGGCAGAATGAGGTAGAGAGGAAGAGACAGAGAAAGAGGGTAGAGGAGAAAAAGAGAGGACATTTGCGCTAAACCCGATGCCAAAGCCCCCTCACCCCCCCACCAGTGACAAAGCATCCCCACAGATGAAGGTGCTAGCAGGAGGAACACCAGCAGGAAGATGCCACTTCGTTTTTGAAAGGGGGTGTGGGGGATGAGAGACTGAGGGACTTTCAAGGACACGCTGTTTTCAGGACGGTTATAAGTTAACCCCTTAAACTCTAGGGACCTGCTGGCGGGTCCGGTTTTCTCTTGTGACTACATACCTAATGTATCAGCTTCATAGTAGTTACTGAATAATTCATAGTAGCTAATTGATAATAAATTGTGAAAATTAATAACTAAATAATACGGGGCTAAACCATTCAGAGCAACCCCCATCCCATCCTATCCCCCCTTTCACAGCTAACTCCAGTGGCTCTGTGCTTCTCCACATTTGTACCATATCGCCTTCTGAGCTGCTGACTCACATGACCTTATCACATACAGTACAAAAAGCTCAAAAACCTACCTATTAAACATGCATGACATTCACAGACACATTTTAGAGCACACGGAAGCAGGACTATGCAGAGATGCAGCAACCTGAACTGAGAATCTGGCCCTGTTAAGACATTAAATGTTTCTCAGTAGCTAAATAACATTATCTATAGTAACAAAAGAGACCAACACGGCTGAGAGACAATATAAAATGTCACTATTTTCAGATGATATTTGACTTGCTGAGACACTATGGGACTTACTCTGGTTCCAAACTAAATGAGAAAAAAAAACAGTTTTGTCCTTCAGATCTGCACTAACATCTGCATTCAGACAACAGTTTGACTTCAACCAGAATTCACGTTCAATAAAGTACCTGGGGGCTTCAATAACTAGGAAGCAAATTACATTTTATTAAAAAACAAAAAAAAACAAGAAAACCTAGGACAAAAGTCTCTAATCCATCTAGGCATGAGTTCATGACATGACACCATTAAAAAGAACGTTTTATCAAGGTTCCAGGTCTTACCTGGAAGTTCCTCATTGCTGAATTTCCGAATTGGATAAATGCATTTCACATCTTATGTGAAATGGTAAAAAGCCTAGAATCCAATATGCAATACTCCAGTAAAGGTAAAGAACGGTGGGAATTATGTTTGAGAAACCTATTATGGTTCTTTATACACCGTCTTTATAGAAATGATATTTGCCTACCCCAACTACGCTGGGGACACTGTGGATTTCTCAACACAGAACACGCTCCTGTCTTCTGGGAATGTCACACAATTCAAAACGATTGGGAAGTAGTTGGGTCTCAAATGGCTAATATCCTTCATTTATATATTCCCAAGACATTTTTCAGTTCTATGTATATGGGCCATACCAGATGGAAGGGGCTAAATATTTGTTTAAGGTGTTTTTGGCAGCTACTAAGAAGGCAATTATATGCAAATGACTTAAGGAAGACCCCCGACTGTTGAGCAATTGGAAAACACTGGTTTTGAAATGTACAAAATGGAATTCCTTATGCACTGAGGTTGAAAGATGTTTCCAAAAAAGAACTGGGGGGAAAAGCTTTTTCTCTCTCACTGCTTTATATCATGAGAAATTGTACTGTACATATACTAAAATTCCTAAATTATATTGTATTCTATTCTAGAGCCCAATCAATATAGGATTTTTAAGCCAGATACCGATTTCGATATTTAAAAATCCGATATAACTGATATATCAACAGATATTCTTTTTTTCTTCATGTAGGCAGAATAAGTTAAACGCTATTGTTCTTCTTATTAACATTAGTTGTTTTCCACTGATGAACACAGCACTAGATAGATTTGTGGGTAACCTATTTTAGCAATGAACAGCTTCATAAACTGCTGGAAGCAAAGTGATGAGGTAGGGAGAAAAGATAGGACTGTTGTTTGTTCGGTCGCTAGAACTGCCACAAACAAATCACAAATAAATGTACAATCAAATTTATCAAAAACTTAGCCTATACAACTTTATCCTAACGTTTATTGTGATGTTTGCCGGACAGTACTAGTGTTCTAACAATCTGCCCTACCCATCGGTCCAACCGAGCATGCATATCTCAATAGTATAGAGTAGTAAACACAGAGTAAACATCTTATTGTAATTTTTACTCAGCACAAACTTTTAGTCTTCATAGTTTTAATGCTGGCAGGATTTTTGATCAGGTGATTTAAGCTATAAAAATATTCTACCTAGGAGGTTTTATGTACAGAGCTCCCTGTAAATATGCAATACAGTAGAACATTTCAACAAGTTAGCACAACTCGTCACATTACTGCAACAAAGGCAGGCATGGCTGACATGGATGTTTCCAGGCTTATTTAGGCTAAGAGAAGCAGTGCTAAGGATGTTTTTATTATTGTTTTAAGAAATGGATTTTGCCTAACAAATCAACTTACCATGAGCGCACACTATCTCTATTATGGAGCACTCTGTTTGAGTCTGCTTAGGTCAGCTGATTATTGTGATTTGTGGTTTTCCAAAAATGTGTGTTGCCAACAGGGACGTTGCAGAGCACCCTCTGATGAACAAACTATGCAATGACAACACTCATAACATGGCTGAAGGATCTGTCATCTCCATTTCTTTTTTAATTGTCATTTATTAGTCATCGGCCATTATGAACGCCAATACCGATTTATCTGCAGCTCATATCGGCTGATAATACCAGCACGCTGTTTTATTGGGCGGACTCTGTTCTATTCTATGAGATGTTTGGCATCTGGCCACCATGGTTTGTTGTGCATGTTTGTTAAATAACACTAAAAAAAAATCAACTACATTGTTTCTTGTTGCAGCATTCTGGTAGGTAGGTAAGGTTTATGTATTGTAATAACACCGTTAAAACAACAAGGACCAAAAACTGTTTAGAATGTAGATCATTCTATCATGTGTGGCTGATAAGCAATCCATTTAATACAGTCAGTATGAAAATCAGTATGGATACTAATCTAGAATATATGATTAGTGCTTTACTGTCTACATCCATCACTGTGGTAGAAGTTGCTGCAGAAGTTATGGTGGAAACATCTAGTTTTACCTGGTATCATGCACACAATGAGAATTAAGCCTTGTTAATCTGAAGGCTTAGTAATCAGTGACTGTTAGGAACTATTCAGTAACTAAACTAGATAGATATAAGACACTGAGGAATTGAAATGTGGACCCACAGACAAACCCTTGCAGTTTAAGGGGGTTAGTTTTGTTAGATTTAAGCTCCACTTTTGTTATTTACTGCATCTGTGGAATTAGCGTTCACCAGCTAATAGAGAGAAATGACAGCACACATCTGTCAAATGTTGTAGATCCTTTGCTACATGGATCAAGCTGAGTAAACCCAGCCATAAAGCCAAAGTGGTTAACCCTCTGTAATTAGCTCTATAATTCTGGCTATGAGCAGGGCATGTGAGTAGTTTAAGTGTATCGTAGCAGGACAGATGGATTGCGCTTGTGGATGGGGATCTAAGGCAGACCCTGCATATCAATGCAGCTTCCTTCCTCAGCCTAGGGCTGCAGTGCACCAAAAACTCAGGTAGCAGAAACAGCCAAAGGAACTGAGGGAACTTATATAAAGAGCTATCGATTTCTTTACTTTAGCCTCCATCTGAAGGTCTCGCTGAAAGGACTTTATGACACATGTGATCCCTCCACTGGCAAAAACATTCAAATGCAGACAGTCACAAAATGAGTTTTATGGCCATAAATGAGAATAAAGTTAATAGAGAGCCACCAGGAACTGGACTCCTGCTTCTCAGGCTGGGTATTGTGCTTTCTGAGCTTTTACATCTATTCAAATTTGAAACTGAGAAATGAGATCAGAAAAATCCTTAAGGCCTCTAAAGTATCTGAAACTGTAATAGCAGTGCATCAAATCCCTCTGGCACTAGACCTGAATCAGACAAGTGTTTAGAACATATATTAATCACAAACTTTATGTAATTATTCAAACCTATTTTGTTAAATTATGTGCTTTGTAAAACACAGCATGTTGGTCTGGAACGTTTATAGCAAAGCAAAAATTTTCCCCAAGCTAAAGGTGAGTAATATGGCAAAAATACCACAATACTTGAAGATGTTTTCAAGATACATGAGATTTA